GAATCGGGATCCAGGTGGCCTGGCGGCACCCGGCTCTGTCCACCGCCCCTCCCTCGGCCTCGCGCCCCACCCTTTGGCTGAGGAAACAGACTGAGAGGGGAGGTGACTGATCCAGGGGCATACAGAAATTCAGGCCCTGGGGAGTATAGGGCCAGGCCTGGGGCAGAAGACCGGTTGGCGTCCAGTACGCCGCAGGGACCCGCCAAAGGAGACAGTGCCCAGTGATGCTCTCCCAAATCCAGGGGAGAAGGACTCAACGGTGTGACCTCGCGGGGGGGGAGGAGGGGGGTGGCCACGCCTTCTTGGGGGACCCCAGTCCCCTACCTTCAAAAGACACTAGCTTGGCAGTGTCACCGTAACTAGGGAGGTCACTTAACCTGCCTGAGCCTCAGTTTCCTGGACTGTAAAATGAGTGACCTCGGGCAAACTCTCCACCTTCCCTCCCGCTTTCTGGCCTTTCCAGCTCCGGTGCCCACCACAAAAAGACGCCAGCCCCATATGATGTGAATGCACTGGGCCCCAGCCAGGAGATGGAGACCCGTGAAGGGAAGCAAAGCAGCGCCCTCCCAGCCAGCAGCAGCAGTTACCCCTCCCGTTTCCTTCTCTGCCTGTGTGGGCCGTTCCCTCATAGCGGCTCTAATATGAGATGCTGGAGCCTGACCCAGAATCGGGGCCCAACACAGTATCCCCTTCCCGGACAGCACTGTGGTCCTTGCAGTTCATGCGCCGTCTGTCTCTGTGCCTCAGTTCTCCCCTGTGCCATGACCTCCCATCAGGGCCAGCATATGGGGCATCAGGAGAATGGGTGCAGTTGTCACCTGGAAACCTCAGAACTCTTGGGGCCCAGTCATGGCCATACACAGCAGCCACCCCTGTCCCCAAACACTGAAGGTGAGCCCCTGCCCAGGTTCCCCAGGAGGCCAGGCTGCCATCAGACCCAGCCTGCCCCAGGCCTGTGGACAGGGCCAGTCCCAGGGCAGGAGGGTAGTGGCCCAGCCTGTGGGTCCCTCCAGGCCTCTCATCTGCTTGTGTGCCTGGGTAAGTCCAGGCTGGCTCTGGGCTCCAGGTGCTCCCCTGGAGGACCCAGAGGGGGCTTCCCCAGAGGGCCTCTTTTGCCCCGATGGGATGTGGCCTGACGCCAATTCTTCTGCATCCATCACACCGTTATGGCGTCTAGTACTTAGCTCTCTGGGTTTATTTTGCACACACTCCTGCCCCTGAGTGATGTCAGAGCCATAAGGGTGGGGACAGAGTGGAAGGGAGACACAGTGGGGACCACAGTGGCTCCATGCACTGCCCACCTTCAGGGAGCCCTGACCCCAGCCCCTTTTGGGAAAGCTAGCATCCCACCTTCACAACCACTCCTGCACCCTCAGCACTGCCCCTGACCATGTGATGGACAGGGAAACTGAGGCTTCGAGCCTGAAGCCCCTTGCCCAAAGTCTGGCAGCCAGGTGTGGCCTCCCAAGTACAGGTCGCTGCTCCTCGACCACCTGAGGGTTTGAAGAGGATTTACTTCAAGGAACCCAATCCTGCATGCAGGGACTCAAAGCCCTGTGCCCTCTGGGATGTGCCCTCCAAGCCTATGGGATGGAAGGTCACGGCAGAAAGCAGGACAGCTGCTAGTGCAGCCAGGGGTCTACAGCCCAGATGCCCACCACGGGGGCTGCAAGCAGGCATGGACACCCCCATGGTCAAAGGGCAGGTCCTGGGCATTTCCCCTCCCCCAGGCATAGCACACGCATCCTCCCTCCTGGCTAGCTCTTGCCAGCTATGGCTGCCTGGACCCCAAATGGAAAGTGAGTTCCTGGGAAAGTCGGGGGGCCCCTTAGGAGGAGTGAACTGAGGTGTGACAGGAAGTCCCGCCCTTGGACACTGTCAAAGAAAAACCAGAGCTGGACTGTGGTTACAGATGTAAAAACAGATTTTTATTCGGGACTCTTGTGATAGGGGAAGACAGACATCAGCAGAGAACTGGGCTCAACTCCGAATACAGCAAGGACACTTGGGACAGGAGGCGGCTTTGAGGATGGAAAATTAGGAAGAGGAAACATCGGGGTGAAGGGGATTCCGGCTGACAGAATTCTTGCAAAGACAGCCTGGGCTGATAAGATCTCACCCAGAGGATGGTGCGGGTGAGGACCGTGATGGGGTATCAAGGGTGATCAGGTATCCAGGGTGGGGAGTTCTTGCTAAACTCACTAGGAGGATTCTTTGTTGAAACTGGATTTTACAAGGAAGTTCACAGATGGGCCAAGGAGAAAGTTCAGGAGCCTGACTAAAGTTTGGTCAAGCAGAGAATCTTTGTGAATGTCACAGAAGCCAGGGCGCTGACACACACACACCCGCTCCTCTGAACGGCCTCCACCTTACTATTTGCTTCTTTCAGATTTTCTTGCCATTCACATGCTTGATCTCGTTAGAAAGCAGGCAGAATTTTAAAATTATGCAGGCAAAGCTAATTTCCACAGAGGTTCTTTGCATTGGGTTGGGTGGGGGCACTTCCCCCTGGTTTTCCTATGGCCAGCCTTTCCTCACTCAGGCCTCTGCTCACCTGCACCCCGCACCTGTGGGCTCTGCCTTCCAAGCCCAGCCCTGCTTCCGCCTCGGTGACCACCATCCCTGTTATCTCTTGCTTGGAAGGTGGCAGCTGCCTTCTCACGTCTCTTGTGAGATGTGAGACGTGCCCCATCCTTGTCTCCACAGCCCAGTACTCACATGGCGGCCACAGGCCATAACACTGAGTCTGACCGTCCTCTTCTCCCACCCTGGGCTCATAGCCTTCCTGTTCCTCCAGCAGCCACCTCTGCCATTTACAAATCTTCATGTGTGCTGTGACCACCCAGAATGTTCTTCCCAGCTCCCTGCCTAGCATCCTCGCCCCCGCTTGGAGTCTGGGCCTTCTGGACCACATCACTCGCCACCACATCCCACCCCCAGTCTCAGTTCTTCAGAGCGCTAGCCTTGCCCTATGATGGTTTCCCCACTGACCATTATCTGTGCTGTAGTGTTCACTCCAGAAAGGCTGCCATGCAGGAGGCACTTAATGAATGCACACAGATAGCTCTGTTGACAATTAGGGTTAAGGATAGGAGGGCAAGGACAGATGCTATAAAGATGACAGGGTGGCCTCCCTGAGAGGCTGACGCTTAAGACGGTGTTTCTAGGCCAGGGCAGGAGGCACGAGGCCCCCATGGGCTGTGGGAGACCTTCATGGTTGAAGCCAACTGTAACCAGGCCAAGAGGTGATGGTGGGTGACGAAGGGCCTGAACACTGAGGAGCAAGGACATTCTCCTCCCACATTCTCACATGGCCAGAGGCCATCATTTATCCATTCAGCCACTGATTAATTCATTCAACAATATCTCCTAAACATATGCCCAACCCAGAGCTGGATCACAGGGAAGACAGGAAGTTCCATCCCCCTGATGGAGCTTCCCTGTTACCAGAGGACACAAACACACATCTGCGTGTTGATCTAGTAAGAGCTAGGGAGGTGGGTCAGGCCAAGAAAGAGGCAGAGGATGCCTGTGAGGTTGCCAGCCTCCAAGGTGGCCCCAGCAATCCTCACATTCCAGGTCATGCCCTTGTGTAGACTCCTCCCACAGTCAATCAGGCTGGTCTGTGTGGCCAGTGAAGTGTGGCAGGGGTGATGGTGTGACTTCTGAGGCTGGGTCACAGAGGCATCATGGTTTCAGCCTTGCATCTTCAGATAGCTTGTTCTGGGGCTAATCAGCCACCATATCATAAGGATGCTCAACCTGCCTTGCCGAGAGCCCTGTGTGGAGAGGAACTAGGCCCCCAGCCAACAACCAGCAGTGACTCACTGTGAGAGAGGGAATCATCTTGGAAGTGGATCCTAAGCCCCAGTAGAGACTTCAGATGAGACCTCAACCCTGGCTGACATCTGACTGCAGTGGCATAAGAAACCCTGAGTCAGAACCACCCTGCAAAGCCCAAATTCTTGACCCACCAAGTGAAAGAGAATAAATGGCGATTGTTGTGTTTGAACTCCCATGTTTTGGGGTAATCAGTTCCAAGGCAATAAATAACTAATGTACTATTCATCCGAGCAGAGGCCTAGCTGCACTGAGGAAGCCAGATGATAGCTGGGGAAGTGTTCCAGATGAAACAGGGCACGCAGGAGCCTCCAGGCAGAAGTGAACCTGCTGTGCCTGAGAGACAGCCAATGTGATGTTGTGGCTGGAGTGGAGCAAGGGGAACAATAACAGGGAGTGACTGGGCATATTAGGCCGGGTCACACAGGCCAGGCAGCTAGGAGCCCATGGTTTGGGGGCTGTAAGCTGGGGGAAGGGCATGGTGATTTGCTCTGATTTACATATTTTAACAATCCTCTGTATACACAAAATAACTAAAAGCAGGGTCTCAAAAGAGATATCTGCGCACTGATTCACAGTAGCCAAGAGGTGGATACAACCCAAGTGTCCATCAAGAGATGAATGGGTAGGCTGGGCGGTGGCTCACATCTGTAATCCCAGCACTGTAGGAGGCCGAGGTGAGTGGATCACTTGAGGTCAGGAGTTTGAGACCACCCTGGCCAACGTGGTGAAACTCCATCTCTAGTAAAAATACAAAAACTAGCTGGGCATGGTGGCAGGCGCCTGTAGTCCCAGCGACTCAGGAGGCTGAGGCAGGAGGATCACTTGAACCCGGGAGGTGGAGGTTGCAATGAGCCAAGATCATGCCACTGCACTCAAGCCTGGGCGATGGAGTGAGACTGCATCTCGGAAAAAAAAAAAAAAAAAAAGCAGGTGAAAGGATACACAAAATGTGGCCTTATTCAGCCTTAAAAAGGAAGGAAATTCTGACCCATTCTACAGCAAAGGTGAACCTTGAGGACACCATGCAAAGTGAAATAGTCTAGTTACAAAAAGACACATACTGCGGGACTCCACCTATGCAGGGTATCTAAAGTAATCAAACTCATAGAAACAGAAGACTGGATGGTGGCTGCCAGGCACCTGGGGGAGGAGGGAATGGGGAATTAGTGTTCCATGGGGACAGAGGTTCCGTCTGGGAAGATGAAAAAGTTCTAGAGATCGACGGTGGTGACAGATGCACAGCAACGCGAATGCACTTAATGCCACTGACCTGTTTACCTAAAACGATTAAAACGGTAATCACACCTGTAACCTCAGCACTGTGCAAGGCCAAAGCAGGAGGATCACTTGAGGCCAGGAGTTCAAGACCAGCCTGGGCAACATAGTGAGACCCTGTCTGTACAAAAAAAAAAAAAAGTAAAAAAGTTAGCTGGGATTGGTGGCACGTGTCTGTAGTCCTAGCTACTTGGGAGGCTGAGGTGGGATCCCTTGAGCCCTGGAGGTAGAGGTGGCAGTGAGCTATGATCACGCCACTGTACTCCAGCCTTAGTGACAGAGCAGACTGTCTCAAAAGAAAAGTTACACTTTTCGTGTATTTTGCCATAATTTACAAAACAAACCTTCTGGTAGCTGTGTGTAAGTTGACTGGTCGGGGGCTTGACTGGAGGCAGGGAGACCATGAGGAGGCCACTTTCATGGTCCAGGTGAGAGGCCTGAACCAGGACAAAGGTGCTTCTCCCTCCCACAGCTCTGAGGTGGGGAGGAGGGGTGGATTCTGGATGAAGTT